TGTTTCTGTTCCAATTTGGCTCAGTTCCACAGTGACTAGCAGAGAGAACCCTGCAATTCAGGCATTCATGAGTCACTCCAGGAATGACAGTTCCAGCAGGACAAATTAAACCATCTTCCTGGGATTTCCACCTACCTCCTCTCCTGCTAAGGGGTTTCCTCTGATAAAATTTATAAGTCAAGTCTCTGCCACAGGAGAAAACTCCACGTCTCCACTGGAGAGCCACAATTTTTCATTTATTGCGGGTGCTAACAAATGAAAGATTGGGACCAGCAACTCTGGACCTCCAATTCTCCCTGTGAATTTATAGAAATAGGACTTTCTGCGCTTCTTTTAAGTGCTACCCACCCCGATTCAAATGCCATCGAAAATGAAACTTGTTTGTTCTGACACTTGTAAAAATACAGAAATCTTACCCAGCCCCTTACTTCTTTTCCTATAAATAAGGAATGTTCTTTCCACAAATGACTCTACTGATGATTAGCATTGCATCAACCTGGTTTATCTCTGGGAACATTGAACCTGAGATGGCTGAAAATAGCCTGAGCAGTAATCTAATCCAATCTCCTGGCACTCCATTCTGGGAACTCTTGGCAAACATAAACCACGGAGTGATTCACTGAACTTCTAGAGAGAAGTGTATACCTTCAACCTGGCCCTTCCTCCTGGGGAGAGGACCCTGCCTGGCAAAACGTGATTACACACCCCACTTCTCTGACATCCATATCCACTGAGCAACTCTTTGCCTCTCCAGGGCAGAAGGAAACAAGGCAGACAAGAACTATATCAATAAGCATAAAGACAGCACCATATACTGAGCACCTTCCTGGGGGCCAGGCACCATGCTATGCCCCTCACATGCAGTAGCAATCACATCCTCCAACAACTTTATGGGGAGGTATTATCATCCCCACTTTATGACGATTACACTGAGGCCCAGAGAGCGTACAAGTGTGTCCAAGGTCACACAGCTAAATAGAAGCAGATGGGATTCTAACCCATGCATCTCTGACTGAACTTGGATCATGATCATCATCCTCATTGTTATAAGAGGAAGAAGAGAAGGGCAAAGAGGAAGAGGGGGAGTTAGAGATAATATTTATTGAGTGGCTTACAGTGCACCATATTTTCTTATTAACCCTGATAGCCACCAGGAGGAGGTGGGAGCTCTTAGCACACTACCCATTCTACAGACAAGCAAACTGAGCCCTGAAAAGTACAATAACTCAGCCACAGTGGCACAGTAGGACCCAGGGAAGCCCAGATTTTGATTCAGGCAGACAACTCCAGAGCTTGCTGAGCCAACATGCTCCCTTGCTTCCCACTTCCCCATAGTCATTCTTTCCTCTGACAAGTAATGATCGTGCATTTATTCTGGACCTGGCATCTGGTGGTAAGCGACAGGACAGCCTGTTTCTGCCTCCTCTCATGGCACACTCCCAAGGGTTTTCTCTATCATTTCTGTGACCCCCCACACCACTTTCAAAACACCTTTTCTTGGGGTGCCTGGGTGGCTTAGTCAGTTAAGCCTCCAACTCTCAGTTTCAGCTCAGGTTATGATCTCAGGGTCCTGGGATTGGGCCCTGTGTTGGCTCCATGCTCAGCGCAGAGTCTGCTTGGGATTCTCTCTCTTCCTCTCCCTCTTCCTCTTCCTCCCCCCACTTGTGTGCGCACACACACTCTCTTTCTCTCAAATAAATAAATAAAATCTTTAAAAAAAAACAAAGCAAAAACCTTTCTTACCTGCCCTCCGTCCCGGCATTTCCTCTCCACTCTGCGGAGACACGAGTCCTTTTTTTTTTTATACTAACCCATAAAGCCCGTCCATCTTATGCCTGAGACACAGCTCTGCTTGCTCTATTAGTCACCCCGCTGGGCCTGGCAATCCAGCTTCTCTCTCCTCATCGGCCGATAAATAACCAGCTCACACCCACCTAAAATGCAGATCAGTCCTTGACCCCCAACGTCATGGTTGTGCCACGGCGTCTGTGCACTGGGTCTGCAAAGAAACCCTGCCTGGGAGCTCAAATTGTGTATTTCTTTCTTCCTGAACCCCAGACCGGCCCTCCCAACAATGTTCTTTTGGCATCAGCACTCTGAAAAGAGCAAAGTCCTTTCTAAACGTTATTTTATCTCTTAGACACCATAAGGAAGAACTAGGTTGATTTTTTTTTAATCCCAGAGAGTGAGTTGGAGTGCAAAGAGCCTATCTTTTCGTGTATTCACCAAAGTATTCTTCCACAACATGATGCTCCACTAGACACCCTCAACATGGGCCAGTTTGTTTTGCATGTATGGCCCCTGGGGCAACATTCAGACCTTATAAGTTAACTCCATGATTATGATGGCGTGGCCCTTCCAGAGATAAAGGACAGGCAGCGTGGAACCAGCCCACATTTCTCAGCAAGCTCACTTGCATCAAATCCTGACTCTGGTGCTCTCCAACTCTACCCCTCTGAGGCTCTACGATTCTATTCTTTTGAACCTCAATTTTCCCTACCCTCATCTGTGAAATGGGGACAATATACTCTACCTGCAGTGGGTTTAACAGCTCCCAGAACTGTCATCCCTGGGGCGACTTGTGGAATGCCTGGATTGCAGAATCCTGCCTGCCAATCAGGATGGAGCCGAGTCAAATCAGAATCCAAAGCAAAAGGACAAATCAGTAATCCTCTTGTAGGTGTAAGTCAGAGTTTCTCAACCTCAGCACTGTTGACATTTTGAGTGAGATATGCTCTGTTGTGGGGGCTGTCTTCAGTATTAGAGGATGTTGAGCAGCATCCCCAGCTTCCCTCCATTAGGTACCAGTAGGATACTCCCCATCACTAACCACACAAGCTGTGGGCAACCAAAAATATCTCCAAGAATGGACAAGTATCCTCTGGGAGGTAAAATGGCCCCCAGCTGAGAACCACTGCCGTGAATGATATAATGTGCCACAAACTTTCCACAGTATCTCCCAATTCCCATTGATAAGACAAAGAAATTAGTACTTCACCATTTTCCTCTAGGAAAATTTTTCTTCCCCTCCATTTCCCTACTTCTAGAAATTATACCATATTTTTACATATTGCACCCATCCTACAGATCAGGGAACTGAAGCTCAGAAAGCAACTTGTCAAAATCCCAGAGCTGGGAATTACTCCAAGACAATATCTGAATCCAGATCTAGCCAGAATAACTAGTATGAACTGTCCCTTTGCCACCTGAAATCCTCCTCCCAAAAGCCTCATCAGCTGCAGTGGGTAATGCACTGAAGCAGAGGACCTTGTGCTTTCATTGTACAACAAAAGGCTCCCAGTGACAGCCTCCTTGTACACTAGATGGAGACTAGGATACCGGGTGACACCTCTCACTCTGTACTGAGTGTAGGGGGTTTCTTAGGAATGTTCCAGATAGCAAACAGGGGCCTGGTTCTGTGAACCTCACAGAAGGCAAGAAAGCTCTTTGGTCACCTCCTCCCTCCCCTCCCACTTCAACTCTCCCCTCTGCCTCCTCTAAATGAACATACCTGCCCTCTACTCTTGCAGGGGAAAATCATAGCATTCACTGTAGCCCATGTTTATTGAGCATCTGCTAAGTGCCAGGCACTGTTCTGAGTGCTTTATCTGATCCAGAAGAAAACCACAGAGGGTAGTTATCCTTATTGTCCCCATTTTCCAGGAAACTAAGACCCAGAAGAGCAATAACTTGCCAAATTCACTCAAACTAAGCGATGATGGAACTTGAACTGAATGTCAAGAACATGCAGACTTTATGATCAATAGACCTTGGTTCAAATGCTGACTCCTCTACCAGCCACCCATGTAACAACCAGGAAGTTACCTAACCTCCCTGAACCTCAGTCTCCTCATCAGTAGTATGGGGCTAGCAGGGATTGTTGTAAGAATAACAACTAATATGTGCTTCTCACCCACTCAACAAGTGTTTACTGAGCATCTACTACTGTGTGCCAACCACTGGGGATATATCTGCAAACAAAACCGCAAAAGGATCCTACCCTTGTGGCATGCACACTCTAGTAGAGACGCACTTATGTGTGTTAACTCAGTTAATCCTCACCATAACCCCTCACAATTACATCATTGTACCCAATTCACAGATAGGGAGAAGGGGTCTCAGAAGCAGCTTTCCCCCACCTCCCTTCAACCTTCTAAGAAATAGTGGGACATGGATTAGACATTAATGCCCAGTCTCTGGAGCTCGACTTCTTGGATTCAAATCCTGCTGTTTCCATCTAATTGCTGCGGACAAGTTACTTAACCTGTCTGAGCCCAAATTTCATGGGTAAAATGGAACCCGGAGGCCCTATCTCAGGAGACTGTCCCAGGGGGAAAACAAACGTCTAACATTCAGGAAGTGCTTCTTGGGTCCCCAGCACACACAAGGCTCACAGAAACCCTAGGACAGACGTCTTATTTTAAGCCCCTTTTTACGGAGGTGAACACTGGAGCCCAGAGAGGGTAAGTAACTTGTCCAGAGGCGCAGAGCGCATAAACAGTGCAATTCCAAAGCGAGCTCTGAATCACGACCCGGCGCAGAGACAAACTCACCCGGTCCAGCATGGTTCAGTGAGTACTAGATAACTGGATGCGATTATTCTTTCCCTCCTGCAGCCTCGAGGCGGGCTGCACAGGGCGGCGGATTGTGTGCACTCTTCAGAGGCTTTCCTAACGCAAGGGGTCAGCGCAATGCAGCCAGAAGCGGGAGCCGCCGCCTAGATCCTCCCATTTCGAGATTCCAGCCCCGGGGTGATTCTCCCCCCATTTCTTGTTCCCCATCCCGGCTCGCTCCCCGCTCCCCCGCCACAGCTGCCACCCACCCTGGCCACTCCCCTGCCGCCCCGAGTTGTGGACAGACCCCGCTGGGGCGCCTGGTTCTTCCCACCGATCCCCTCTCTCGGAGCCAGGAAGGAGGCTCCGCCAAAGCCGCTGAGTCTCGGTGGATACCCGGGAAGACAGTCCCAGCGCCGGCCCCGAGACCTGGCGAACCCGCCTCACCTCCAGCCGGCTTTTGCGTCCCCAGCGCCTGGAGCTCTGGCCGCTGCCGGGTCTGCTCGCCCACGCGGCACAGCGACAACCCTGGCGGGGGCAGAGCACACCTACACAGCCTGTCCGGACTTCCTTCCTGGAGGGGAGATCGCTTTCTTGGAATGTAGCCAAGTTCCTCCAAGCGCTGGGTTAGTACACCTGTTGGCATGGGAGACTTCTATTCACAGTCTCGGGTCTGCGTTCATTGTTTCCTTCCAACCCGCAAACTTTGCCAAGCGCCCACCGGCTGCCGCGCCCCTGCACCCAGAGGATCCCAAGGGCGCACAGGCTAAGGTTGCGCTCTCCAAAACATTGGCCACTAGCCACGTGTGGTTATGCAGCATTGAAACCATGGCACCAATGAACTGAGATGTTTTTTTAAGACACAGGATTTAAAAAAATAATAATAATAACAAAACCCAAACACAAAAAAACACATTTTTCAAACTCATTAAGAAGTTTTAAAATGGGGGTGCGTGGGTGGCTCAGTGGGTTAAGCATCTGCCTTGGGCTCAGGTCATGATTTCAGGGTCCTGGGATGGAGCCCCGGTGCCCAGCTCCCTGCTCAGTGGGGAGCCTGCTTCTCCCTCTGCCACTCCCCCTGCTTGTGCTCTCTCTCTCTAATGAATGAATATTTTTTTTTAAAAAAAGAAGTTTTAAAATGATTGCATGTTAAAATGATAATATTTTGGATATAGATAGTTAAATAAAATATATCATCACAATTATTTTCTCCTGTTTCTCCTTTTCTAAAATACAGCTACTAGAAACTTTAAAAATTATGTGTCTCCTATTATACTTCTATTGGATTCTGCCGGTTTGGGGATCCCATAGGATGTTCCCCAAATACCTCTCCCAGTTCTCTTCTAGAATGTATTCAGCCCTTCCTTATTTCCTTCAAGAAACACTTGGTGAAGTCTGGTGGGAACCAGGCATAGTGCTAGTGTTGGTTTGCAAATTCAGGAGCTTCCCAGGTGTAATTTGAAATTGGCCCTATATACAGAGGGCAAAGAAAGACCCAAGAAAGAGAGAGACCACTCCAGATTGATAGGTTTAATAATAGGTTTAATTATTTAATAATAATAGGCAGGTTTAATAAGCAAGGGAACTTATATACAAGGCTTGTTTTAGACAGTTGCAAGACAAGTAGATCCCTGCACTGCCTCCCAGAATCTTAAAAGTTTATATAGAAGCCTTAATGGGGTTCAGTCATGTATCAAGTCCAGATATTTCCAACACCACCTTGCTCTCTCAAGTTTGCATTCTTGAAACCAGCTCCTACTGTGGGAATAGTGGGCAGAATGTACATACCAAGGACAGGAGACAGGGTGAGGAGCCTGCAATTACCCAGGGCCAGCTCAAGGGCCAACTAATGTCCATGTCCTCTCCATGACATCCTCCAACAGCTAGACTTGGGGGAATAGCATGGTAAGCTAAACAGATAGGTCAGGTCAGGTTAGAGAGGTCTATTAAATAAAATGTACAATGAGTAGAAAAGGCAACCTAAGGAGTGGGGGGAAATATTTGCAAACTATGTATCTGATAAAGAGTTAATATCCAGAATATATAAAGAATTTCTACAACCCAACAACAACAAACAATAAAAATAACTAGATGTTAAAATGGGCAAAGGATTTGAATAGACATTTCTCCAAAGAAGACATACAGATGGCCAACAAATACATGAAAAGATGCTCAACATCATTAGTCATAAGAGAAATGCAAATCAAAACCACAATGAGATATCACCTCATATCCATTAAGATTGCTACTATCAAAACAACAGAAAATAGCAAGTATTGGCGAGGACGTAGAGAAAATGAAACCCTTGTGCACTGCTGGTGGGGACGTAAATTGGTGCAGCCGTTATGGAAAACGGTTCCTTAAATAATTAAAAACAGAACTACCATCTGATCCAGCAAATCCACTTCCGAGTATACATCCAAAAGAATTCAAAGCAAGATCTCAAAGAGATATTGCATACCCATGTCCACTGCAGCATATTCACCATAGCCAAGAGGTAGAATCAACTCAAATATCCATCAACAGAAGACTGGATAAAGAAAATATGATGTGTACATACAGTGGCATTCTATGCAACCTTAAAAAAGAAGGAAATTTTGATACATGCTACAAACATGGATGAACCCCGAGGACATTATGCTAAGTGAAATCAGTCAGTCACAAAAGGGCAAATTGTGTATCATTCCACTCATATGAAATACCTAAAGTAGTCAAAATCATGGAAACAGAAAGTAGAAAGAGTGTGGGGAGGGAGTGGGAGCATTAGCGTTTTTTTGGTATAGAGTTTTGATTTTGCAAGATGAAAAATTTCTAGAGATCTGTTGCACAACAGTGTGAATATACTCAACACTTAAAAATGACAATGGTAAATTTAACGCTATGTGTTTTTTACCACTATTTAAAAAACTGTTCAGGGGCACCTGGGTGGCTCAGTCGTTAAGCATCTGCCTTCGGCTCAGGTCATGATCCCAGGGTCCTGGGATCGAGCCCCACATCGGGCTCCCTGCTCAGCGGGAAGCCTGCTTCTCCCTCTCCCACTCCCCCTGCTTGTGTTCCCTCTCTCGCTATGTCTCTCTCTCTCAAATAAATAAATAAAATCTTAAAAAAAAAAAAACTGTTCAGTGATGTAAATGCAGTGGTGAGTATTGCAACCAAAGTGGGTATGACATGCTGTAAGAATTTATAACTAGGGGGTTTACTGGGTGCAAGGGAAGGTTTCCATAAGGAAGTGATGCTTCAGCTAACTTCGGAATCAAACAGGAGAGGAGCGAGGGCGGCTTATGCAGAGGTGGCAGCCCACGCAAAGACCCCAGGCCAACAGGTCACATGATGAGTCTGAATTTATTTTATATAGCACGCCCGTCTCCAGCTTGCCTGCTTCATGAATAGAATCCATGATCACGGGCGCCTGGGTGGCTCAGTTGGTTAAGCGACTGCCTTCGCCTCAGGTCATGATCCTGGAGTCCCGGGATCGAGTCCCACATTGGGCTCCCTGCTCAGCGGGGGGTCTGCTTCTCCCTCTGACCCTCTTCCCTCTCGTGCTGTCTCTCATTCTCTCAAATAAATAAATAAAATCTTAAAAAAAAAAAAAAGAATCCATGATCACGATGACAATGATAACCAACATGTACTGTAAATTACTTCACTTCATTAACTACATAATTAACATAGATGTTAAGTGCAGGGATTCTGAACCAGTCTACTTCGAGTTAAATTCGAGCTCTGCTATATCCTTAGTAGCTTCATAATCTCGGGCAAGTTCCTGAATCTCTGTGCCTCAATTTTGTCATCTGTAAAATGAGGACAGGGGTGCCTGGGTGGCTCAGTCATTAAGTGTCTGCCTTTGGCTCAGGTCATGATCTCAGGGTCCAGGGATCGAGCCCCACATCGGGCTCCCTGCTCCGTGGGAAGCCTGCTTCTCCCTCTCCCACTCACCCTGCTTGTGTTCCCTCTCTCGCTGTGTCTCTCTCTGTCAAATAAAATAAATAAAATCTTAAAATAAAATAAAATGAGGACAATAACGGGACCTACCACACAGGGTTGGTGTGAGGACTAATAAGATAGCATACACTATGAGTTAATATTACATATATGGTGCCTGCCACACAGTAGGGGCTATTAAGTACTTGTTAAATAAAATAAAACTTAATTACATGTTGGGCAATTGTGCTAACCACTCTACATGCTCTGATATATTGCAAATTGGTCATAAATTCCTCCCATCCCTGTAAGTGTACCCTTTTGCATTGTGACCTGCAGAACCAGAATCCATTTTCCCACGTAAAAGTAGGGTGCATCCCAAACCCAACAGCGCTAACCTTGATCCCCAAGGGTCCTTCCTCTACTCTGTCTTTCCCACCATCTCCCCTCTCAGGAAGTGACAGCTCCATCTTTGCAGATGGTTGCTCAGCTCAGAAACCTCAGAGAAACCATCAATGGCTTTCCTATTTTCACTCCTCACATCTGCTCTGTCGGCAGGTCCTGGTGGTCGGATCTCTATGTCCAGAATCTGACCACTTCTCACTGTTTCTACCCTGCCACCTCCCCGGTCCAGCCCATGGTCTCTTGATTACTGCACTGGCCCCTTCATGGTCTCCCTGCTTGTGTCCTTGTGCGTCTAGTCTATTCTGGAGCCAGTAGTCCTAGAACAGTCCTGCAGAGGCACCTCGGATCTTCAAAGCTCTAGTTACATCTGCACCTTGTCCCAGCCTGGGTTCTCTCCCTACTCTTTCCTGCTTATTTTTTCCCAAAGCACTCATGCTCTGACACATTACAGGTGCATGTGTGTCTTATCTGCCTCCCTCCACCAGAATGGAAGCTTTTTGAGAGCAGGGACTTGTGCCTGCTCTGTTGTCTGATTGTTGAATCCCCAGGGCCCAGGACAGAGCTTGGCCCACAGTGGGCACTCAGTATTTGGTGAATGAATACAGTCATGGGACTAAGAGTAAGAAAGGAGAAGGAAGTAGACCTACCCACAAATTCAACGAGGACCCTGCAGCCCCTGATTATTTCCTCACCATCATCAGCATCTTCAACTTTGTCAGCATGCCTCCTCCATGTGTGGACCTCGCTTTACAGTTTGCAAAGCACCTTCACACTCGTGTCACATTTGATACCTACACAACCTCAGGAGAGGGATATTAGTGGATGAAGAGTCATACCCTCCCCAGACCCCAATTTTTCATGGAGAAACAGAAAAAAACTGCTGACCCTTGCCCACAGCAAATTTACTCGGCGGTGAAACGGCTGTGATTCAACCATGACTTCTGACTCTGAGTCCAGGAGTCTTTACCTCAAGCAAAAAGGCTGTATGTGCAGTGGTTAGATGCATGAGCTGTGGAGTCTGGATAAACAAGACTTTGAAACTTGCTTCTATAACTTCCTAGCTGTGTGATGTTGGGAAAGTTGCTAGCCCTCTCTGTGACTCCCATTTTCTCAATCGTCAAGCAGGGATAATGATAGTATCCCCCACATAGGGTTGTTCTGAGGGTTAAATGAGATAAGATTTGGTATGTCACGATTAGCCA